CCTGTGTGTTTTTACACTTCGCTCATTTTTCTCTCTGAATCTGCATCCATTCAAAAATGTGGGGAGCTTGTGGGTGAGTGACTCCTAACTGGCGCAAAGGGAGATAGCTACATTGAAAGTAGCTGAGGTGCTCCAGTGGGTATGTGCTAGGTAACTCGGGAGTCATTTGGAGACCATGCTCAGTATTTGGACTGGAGTTTCCCTTTTGTCTCAGCTGTGCCTCTCCTATTTAGACCCAGGGAGCGACAGATCCTATTAGTCTCTGCAGTCACTGAGGAACTGTTTGCAAAACTACAGTTCTGTCAACAACACAGGCTGCAGGACCTTCAGTGCCAAAATGCGGTGCTGGCTGCTCCATGGCACACCCTGAAGGTCCTAGGCTTGGTCTTTTGGCTTAGTGAGATATGTTTTCTTGCCACACCCTCTCCCTCAGACATCTGTGCTCCAAAATCTTATTTTTATAACTACTATCCTTGCATGTTGGGAGCTGAGGAAGCTAGGAAATTGATCAAATATGTATAGGTGGGACTAGGCCTCAGTGCCGAAAGCAAACAAGCTAACTCAGTCCTCAGATAAACATCCTATCTGGTTAAGGTCAGCTATTAGTCACCAGGCAATCTTGTGTCATGTGTTACTAACTTTGCAAAAGTATAAATAAAGGACCTGTTGTGTGGTTGTGTTAGTCTTGCCTAATAGGCAGACCAGCAACCACCTAGCCTAGCTTGTGTCTTCTCATCTATCTTTTCTCATTCCTGCCTTTTCTCCCCAAAATGCAGTGAGACCAACAGATCCCTACATTTGGGTACTAGAAACTAAAGGAAAAGGTATAAAGAAGTGGTGTAGATGTGGTGTAGACAAGGCATTGGTTTCTGAGTGGCTTATTTTAATGGCCGTAAAACTGCTTCTCACTGCATTCAGGCTGTGTCCCATGGGAACAGTACTTACCACGAAATAGTATTGTCGATCTTGTATTTAACTTGAGAAATGATTATTTTTCTAAGCAACAGAAAAAGTTAAACTTAATCAACCCTCCAGATAAAATGTGGACTTTTCCTACCCAAATCATTAAAGAAAAAAATCTACTTGTGTTATCTCCCTTAAGTAAACTATACTTGATGAATGACACAAACACATGTTTGAGAAGGATCCCTTGTCCCAGTAGTATGAATTTCATTTGATTGATTGATTGGATTTTCGTTTTGGAAAATCTTTATTTCTGGTCTACACATTTAGAACATCACAAGAGGGGGCTGGCGAGATGGCTCAGTGGTCTAAAGCACCTACTTGGAACAAGCTTGGCAAAGCACAGGGACCGCGGTTCGATCCCCCAGCACCACATGCCAGCCAGCCCCGCCCCCTGGTGGGCTGAGCTGGCCACACACACACACACACACACACACACACACACACAATAAATAAATGTAAAAAAAAAAAAGAACATCACAACAGGCTTCAAGCCAATTGCGAGGCAGGAGAGGAGGGAGTGACCCATGGGCTGCTTCCTGTTTCATGTGGAGGCAGAAATCCTGAATACCTAGAAGTCCACCCACAGCCAGGTGGTGAGTCATTTGTTTTAAATCAGGCTGAAAAGTTTTTTAAAAAGGCACTTGGAATCCCAACACAAAGATCCTGCATAATTTCTGTAGTGGAGATTAGGGGAAGGGTCACGTCACCACTTCATCAGGCACCATTCTAGAAAGAAGAGGTATCGTAGCTACCTAAAAGACAGGGAATTCACAGCTTTAATGTGGGTTTTAGGGCACTGGATTCTAAAATCCTATTTTTATACTTATGGTGAAAAATAAGCCTCAAAATCTGCCTATCTAAATGTAAATCAGATGCAGTCAATTTTGTTATGACTAACTTATATATGTATAATTTTAAAAATGTCTAATTTTCAGTTTTGCTCAGCTCAAAACTACATACAACTTGAGCCAACGGGGCACAGTGGTTTGCAATGGGTGACTCCGAGTGAGAGTGTGCTGGGGTGTGTAGATGGTGTGCACAGGCGTGTTTACCACCTTAACTTTGTCATAGATATGCAAATTTTCAAAATAAAAAAAAAATGAGAAAACTGTTATGACAAATGCACCAAGTACATGTCACCAAATAGCCCTGATTTCACTGTTTAAAAAAAAAAAATCCCTAGCTAATCTGTCATACCTTTTTTATAGGTAAAACTTTTCTGTCAAAGGAAAAATTGGAGAAATACTGAACATGCACTAAAGGAAAAAACTGTTTTAGAGCAAGCCCAGTGCTCTCCCCAGCCTCACCTGGAGTTTGCCCAGTCACACTCCTGCTGGCACCGCACTGGCTCTCTGGTTCCTCACACAAAGCAGAGTGTCCCTTCTTTACAAATGACAGAGTGGTGTGAGAAGACATCTCAGTAAGATGGAAACTGTTTCTAACTTTGAGAAATACAAATAGTTTCTCGACTGAAGTCTTAATATGATTGGATACGAATTTTTCAAAGGCTGTTTAAGTTGGCTGTGTTTTTTAAATAAAAAGTTTCACGGTTTTGATTCTTGTTTAAATCTAATTCTAAATGACAAGGCTTCATCATTTTTATAAGCTCTTTGATTGGAAGATCTAATATTTGACTTAGCAAAATAATAAGAAGTCTTTGCAGCCTTCATTTACTCTGAGATGGGAATCAGCACTATACTGAATCTGTCTTTGTATGAAAAAGCAGAGAATAAGAACTATATGGAGTAAATAGTATCGACAATGAAAGAACCTATGTGAAACTAAGCTTCCCAGTAGGAGGAAGGTAACAACAAATAGACCAGGCAACACCCAGTGGGACCTAAGGTGAGGAGCCAGGGCCTTTCAAAGGCACTAGCAATGCTAGGACACATGGCCCATGGGTGCTCAAACATCATGTACCTAGTGAGCCACATCTTCATTTCTGGGGACACTGCTATTTGCTGGTCTTAAAATTTCTCATGGGCCTCAGGAGCAGCCACCAACCCCACCACCACCACCAGCTGCCTCCCCTTTCTAAGTTCCTTGCACAAACTCTGGCCATCGGATCACACCAGAGAACCAAGACAGAGATAGAGGGCCCTAAAGTGGATTTTTACACATCTTGATACCAAGGTCTGGGAGATTAAGGGGCAGGAAGATAGAAATATTTGGAAAAATGGAGTGCTACTCTTCAAAGAATAAAAAAGATAACTTGAGGTATGGTGGCCACATCTGCAATCCCAGCATTCTGGAAGACCAAAGAGGACTGCAAGTTTAAGTCCAAACTGGGCAATTTATAACAAGATCCTGTCTCAAAATAAAAATTTTACAAAGGGGTTGGGGATACAACTGTCTCCAGAGGTCCAGCAATTTTCCAGCCTCAACCTCCTGAGTAGCTGGAACTATAGGCACAAGCCACTACACCCAGGTAGGATCTGAACCCTTTAATACCCAAAGATGACTCATATAAATCAGCTAAACTGGCAGCTGTCAATTCTTCTGCTTTTGAAAACATGTATGGATTGTTATGAGCAAAAATAAGATAGAATATACATTAAATAACACTACTTTAGGTTGCCTAAGATGACCTCTATACCCACAATAATATGGCAAAAGGTACTTACAAGGATGAATTAGAGTAAAATAAATGAGATAAGCCACACCCTTATGGTGGTTTGTTGCTATAAATTTATTCAGATCATGAAAACTGTCATATTTAAAATTCTCAAAGTAATTTTGGCACGAGTCAAAACTTACTGTGTTAAATCCCTGAGGTTTTTTTTTTGTTTTGTTTTGTTTTGTTTTGTTTTTGTTTTTTACCAGTCCCTGAGGTTGATTCCTACGTGGTCCTCCTCTCTAGCCACCCAGCCCTCTCAGGTACCTTACTACCTCCTCCACTGGGCTCCCAGTCACCCTCAGTACTCCTTCCTGCTGACCAGGGGTGACCGCATACCCTTATCACATTTCTAACCATCTGTGCTTGGCAGAAGGAAGACCTGAGTCCTCATTGCAGAGAAGATCCCTTGTGGTTCTGATGCTTGCTGCAGGGCAAAGGAGGCAGGGAGGGGTACAGCTTGTTCCTCAGGTTGCCTGCAGTGGTCAGTGTTCTAAGGCTTCCAGAGCTTTATGCCTCAGATGCTCGTCCAAACACTGGATAGCGAAGAGGTCCACATCCATGTCAAACTTATTGGCAAAGAAGTGGTGTTTGCGCAGCATCCAGGTCAAGTCACCAGCTCCAAAAATGCACACGCTGCGCACATGGGTACCATCGCAGGGGGGGTAGGGTGCACCCTCATTAACGTCCCCTTCGAGGTACTGCCACTTGACAAACCTGGCAACAGCCTGCATGTCAGATAGGTCATACTTGTGGCTCAAGGGCAGAGAACCTGGGGCCTCAGGGACCCTCTGTACTGTGGCCCAGAGGTACTCGTCTGGGCTGTAGGTGTCCTGTGCCCACTCCATGAACTTTTGGATATCTTCGTTTTCTAGCACGTAGCCCACATACCCCCTGCTGACCACAAAATAGGCACTCCCTGAGAAAATAGGTGTTTTGAGTGGAGACTGCGTTTTGGGGGTCCCTGTGTCTGTCACCTTCCCATCGATGACTACATAACGCCTTTTCCACCTTTCTGCTTTATGGGATGGCATCTTCTCTGTTTCTAGACTGTTTTCTCCCATGAAGGACTTGAGCTTCCTGACCATTTCCAGGTTGGTTTTAATAGGAAAATCCATCCCACAAAGATTGATCAAGTACTTCCAGCCTGCACTCATTCTGTAGAGGTCCTTCATGCAGTTGAGGTCAGCCTGCACCCGGCTCCATGATGCATAGACCACGCTCTCCAACTGACTGGCCACAAAGACATTCCTGAAACAGGATGCGATGCCCTTCACTGCGGCTACGAAGGAGTCCTCTGACTTTCTGTCCACATGGATGCAATAGAAATTCTGAGGCATATAAATGGCCCTTAGAAGCCTGTCAAGCATTTCAATTTTGTGATGAACCACTATGGAATATGCAATCGGGAAGCCTGCCTCCTCTTTACTAAGGGGTTCTACAATATATTTGCGCATCTTGATGAAAGAGGGGCAGTCCCTGGTCATGTTGATGTAGTCTGATGGTGTCCACCGAGGGCGTTTTCTAAATTGTGCTGTTAGCATTTCAAGCTTTGTTTTCTGAATTTCATCTGCATCACCCTGTAAAATTTTGGTGCAATTTATGTTACTACTAGGATTCTCTCCAACAAGTTCCAAGTGTCTGAGGCTTACAAATTCAAGTTTGTGACAAATTCTTAAGACAGTGAACGTAACTAAGGATAAAACAAGAATCATAAAATAGTATTTAGTGGGATAAGAAAAAAGTCTCCTTCGTAACAGATTCCTCAGCATTTCAAACGACAATCAGAGACTCTTCCTCATTAGGGGCAATCTTCTAGACTGCAAACGCCAGCGATCTTCTCTCCAGTCTTCCCTCTGTCGCTGCTTGAAAAGCTGACAGACTGCATTTATGTGACATACAAAGGCATCTTGGAAGGCAGGATGGCACTGAAAGAAAACACAGTGTCTTATCAAGAAGCTCTTTGCTATGAGGCCAGATACAAAAGACAAAAGTGGATTAATCAGGGCAAAAGCGGTAGGCAGTTGTACAGGAAAACCTATCTCCAGTATTAAAATCATAAGTCAGAGGGCAGGAGAACGACCACCAAAGCCTAATACAATGTCCAAAAATATTTTACAACTAATACTTGACCTCTCAGGCATACTGAAGTGCAAAAACACAGACTGAGGCTATAATTATTGAACTGGCCACATTTAGTGAGGTTTTCATACTATGCCAACTTTAAGAATATTCCTTGTCTTAAAATTGTTACTCATCTAAATTCCTCCTGACATGGAGAGATAACTGGTATCAACAGTAGCTATGAAGATTTGAAAAATTAGATCCTTCCTGTTTTGTAGTGATTTAAGATGGTGGCAGGCCTAGGGAGATAGTTGGATGGTCTAAGTGCCTGACTGGCAAAGTGCAGACCTAGGTTGGATGTTCAGTAACACATGCTGTGCCAGCCACTGAAACTGGGTGTAGTGGTGCACGCCTGTGTCCCAGCACTAGGGATGCTGAGACAGGAGGATCACTATAGTCTGAGCTGCATAGTGAGACCCTGCACCAAACAAATAAATGATTTTTTAAAAAGATGACGGTGAGGGGCACATAGAAATGGTAGACACTTCTCACTGACGGTGGTGGCACATTCCTTGTTACGGTTTGTGTCTAGTTGTCCCTGCAAAGCCTCCTGCAGTCATGGCGGGGGACTTCTAGAGTTTGAGATTAACTCATGATCCACTGGGATTATGTCTTAGTACTGCTGGGATTATGGGTGTGGGTACTTCCCCCAGCCTGGGGCAGATAGCTTGAATGTTATTTGAGAGAGACAAACTTCTTCTCTGTTGCCATTGTTGCCACTACTCCTCCATTTTGCTCTCTGCTCTTTGCTGCCACCATGAAAGGTTGCTCTCTGCCATGTGCTGCTCTGCCTTGGACCCAGCTGAATATGGACTGAAACCTTTTCTTCGTTCATGTTGAGTGTGGGGTATTTGTCCCAGCAATGAAAGAGTAACTGAGACACTCCTGTAATCTCAGGATTTAGGAGGCTGAGGCAGGAGGATCACTGCAAGTTCAAGGCCATCCTGAGTAACATAGTAAATTCAAGGGCAGTTTGAGCTTGAGCCATATACTGAGACCCTGTCTCAAAAGACAAAACAAAACAGAATGGTAGTGACACTAAGAAACGTTGAAGAAAAGGCAACTCAACTGAGTCCTCAAACTGAAGCCAATATTTAAACTTTTATCAGCATTTTACATGTTAAAGTTGGTTGGGGCCCTAAAATTTAAATATAGATAAAAGGTTTGTCATAAATTATATACATCTGCTATTTTTTCCAAGCTCTTAATTATTACAATTTGTTATAACCAAAATAGAAAGTCCAAGGTTGTCTTTTGGGACTGTGGGTATCTCAAGTCCCTACAGCACCTGGCATGGACTTCAGCTTAAATATCAGGTCTGTCCAACAGAGTTTCACATCCAGGAGTCGGTTGAATTGCCTTTTCTTCAAAAATATTATTGTATGATTTAAACCATTTTTGAAAAACATTAAAAATAAACAAGTTTTTGTAACTTGGCAATTAATTCTCTAATTAATAGGTGCTGTTCTAAAAGAAGGTCAAACAGGGGCCGGGGAGATGGCTCAGTAGACTAAGCACTTGCCTGGCAAGTGCAAGGGACTGAGTTCAATCCTCAATTCCGCAAAAAAAAAAAAAAAAAAAAAAAAAAAAAAAAAAAAAAAAAAGAAGGTCAAACAGCACTCATTGTATCTGTACTAGCTGTATAAAGATTTGAAACAAGCATGACTCTGACACTTTCGAATATTTCATTAGAAAATAAACTTGGGCCAGCTAAATAACTCAGCGGGTTAAAGCACCTCCAAACAGGAGCAGGGGCTGGGGGTTTGATCCCCAGGCCTGCCCTGCCAGCCCCATCCCCGGGGCATGCTGAGATGGCAGTTGAGACTGGGCATGGTAGCGCGCGCCTGTCATCCCACCTCTTTGGGGGCTGTAAACAGGTGGATCACTATGAGTCTAATCTAGTAGTGAGACCCTGAATATCCTGTAGACCCTGCCCTAAAAAATACAGAAAAAAACTGTCCATATTAATAAGTAAAAATAAATTAATTGGGCATTACTAGTAGAGACTAATGTAAAGCAAGTACTTCGACTTTTACCATTGAGAATTAAGGAGACTCTGCGTCAGTCAGCTCTGGCTCCAGGGAACATCCGCAGCTGGTTGAGTTCCTCTTATACCACCAGGTTTCCCAAAGGCCCCAGGCATCCAGCAGTGGCAATATGTTCGTGAGGCTTTAATCTGTGATGAAAAGACAAATGTGGCATGGGATAAGAACATATATGCACTTGTGGTATCCACACACGCAGGCGTGCTGGTGAACTCATATCACATATTTACTCCTTTCTGCTCAAAATTATGGCTGGAGAAGTTATATTTTTAAAATTTCCTTTTTCACAACTGTACTTTTTTTTATCTGATACTATCTTCATAGGTTGCTAAAGAGCTGAAAGAAATGAATGTAATTGAAGGTAAGCCTTGTGTTGTGCTAGGGATCAGACCTGGGGCCTCCAGGATACTAGGCAAATGCTCTACCACTAACTCGTCTTAGGTTAAGCTTTTTGAAAGAAACTCTAGTAGCACTTTCCAAAATGCATGCCAGGAAATATTTAGGGGTCTGGTGGGACTACAATCCAGCATATCCAATCCTCATTAGTAAATTCACAACTATCCTGCACCTGCAAAAGCTGTTCCTCTCAAGGTGAGGGTGCATCTGAGTGCCCCATAGAGTGAGAAGGCAGAACAAATGACCCCAGGGAGAGAGAGGCAGGAGGCAGCAAGTAAAACTGGAAGAGCAGATGGAAGGGATTCAGCTGACTGCACAGACCCGTGGAGCCCGGAGTGAACAAGCAAAGAGAGAAAGAACAAGCTCTATTTACACCACAGGACCTTCAAAGGACTCAGGAACTGGTGAGACGGATATTTTGAAAAGAGGTTCGGCAGCTGTTTACAAAGTAATTGGGTCTCCATCTCAACCCTGGCAAAGACTCCAATATTGAATCTCTGCAGAGTTCCACAGGTGGCAGACCCGATGCTGTCAGCAACCAGAGGGTCCTCGCCACAGTGAACATGGGTCTCTTCTCCCCCATTCCAGCTTGCTTGCCCCTGTTATGCTCAGGACTCTGTCAAGCCAAGAAAGGCATTTATGGACTAGAGAATACAACTGAGTCAAGAGAAAAAATATATACCTTAAATAGGCCGCTCACTTTGGGAATGCCTTAAAGGTTTACAGGAAACAGACTGTAGGGAAAAGAACACTGACAATCATTCTGTAAGGAGGTAAGTAATGATTCTCATTAAAATGAAACTATTTTCATTAAACATAAGTAGATGAGGAAGAATATATGTTCTACAGAGAGCCAGAACCACACTTTTATCCCATATGTTCTCCGCACTATGACCGTGACACTGCCTAGTCAGAAATAGCCACATCCCCTGCTCCTTTAATTTTGGTGGCTTTATGATTATGTTGACCAACAGACTTTGGTAGAAAACTGTGCGACTAACTACCAGGCTGGGTCACATAAAACAGCTTCCATCTGGCTACTTTGGAAAATTTGCTCCCTAGAACCTCCTTTTAATTTTTTAAAATCTTTTATTTATTTGATACAGGGTCTCGGTTCACAGCTCAGGCTCATAGTGATCCTCCTGTGTTAGCCTCCCCAGCGCTGGGATACAGGCATAGGTGCATCACCACGCCCAGTTTCCATGGCTGGCATGGCACGCCCAGGGTTGCCAGGCCAGCAGGGCATGAGATACCAGGGATCGAACCTGGGTCCTTGCGCTTGCAGGCAGGCACTTAGCCCACTGAGCTAGCTCAAGTCTCCACAACCCCACATGAGAAGCCATGCAGAAAAGCAAGACCTATTCATCTACTGCGCAGCCCCAGGGTAGCCCAGCCTTCCCTGCCAGCCCAGGTGCCTGAGGCGCCAGCAAGAAGGCCCCTGGATGACTCCAGCCCCTCTTCATGTGGCCTTAGCCACAGAATGCGTGAGCAAAACATGACATGGCAATGCTGTATGTTACTACATTTGAGGTGGTTTGCCTCACAACAAAAGACAAGAACAGGAAACCACAGAACCCCCAGCAAATAAGAAGGTGCTTCTCAAAATTAGTGACCTCAGCAAAAACGAACAATGCAACAGATGGTTCAGAGGATGAACTAGAAAAAAATTCCAGGGTGTTAAACTGAGATCCACCATCTATCTAAATAACAGGAGCTCTCACAAGAAAAAAAGAGGAAAGAAAGGAAGTCATGAATTAAATAATTCAAGAACTCTTCCCAAAATGAAGAAGATTTTTCCAGATTGTCAAATCTCCTGGAGTACTGGCACAATGGCTGAAATCAGGACCAGGCAAGGACGCGCACTTTTATCAGTTGTGAAATGTCAGAACGTGGGGAACAGAGGATCACACAGTCTTCCAGAGAGAGGCAGGCGAACCCACACACAGGGATTCAGAAGCAGCATGTTCACGAAATCCAACTACAGACACCAGAAGACAATGGAGCGAGGCCTTTAAAGTGCAGGTGAGAATGCTGAGAGCCAGGTGAACTACTAATCAAAGGAGGGTTAAATAAATACCTTTGAAAGTGAGTATCTCAAAATCTTTGCCTTTTGCATCCTTTCTTGGGATGCTACTGAAAAATGAGTCTCATCAACATTTGAATATTAATGAAGAAAAGGAAGCCATCAGAAAAAAAAACAGAAGGCAGGTCTGACACTTGCATGGTGAAGGAAGAGGTCAGAGCCCCTGGGAGGGATGCCTTCACAAAGGCCAAAGCACTGAGATAATCAATGAGAATACATGCTGAAAACCAACGTGAAGAACAGGCAGACAATGGCACTGCATCAGAGGTAACTACCTTGAAATACAGCCAGTGAAGGGAGTTAGGAGCTTAATTATGGACTCCAAAGAAATCGGAGTTATGATGTAATGAAAAAAAAAAGCCATTATGTATTGCCGTGGCATACCTTTGAAGAAAGGCGACAATGTAAACACTATTTATCAATTCACAGTCAATAAAAGCACGCACAAGGCCCTTCCTTGTAGGTTCCCTCCCTAGGCTGGGGGTGGGAGGACGGATACACAGAGAGAGGGTTATGGACACACAGCAGCAAGAAAGATGGGTGTGGAAAGGGCCACCGTGCCCAGCACCACTGAACTAGCACAGGAGCATGCTCTGGACTATGTGCTGCTGAAGGAAATGAACTGTTTCTAACTGTACCTTATCACCACCCCCTTGTCGTCAACAGCCCAACATGGTCAAAAGAGCAAAGCAGGAGTAAAGGGTACATCCTGGAGCAAGATTTTCTTCATGGTGACAAACATCTGAGGGTATTCTTCTAAGAAAAGATCTCAAACCACTGATAATCAGACCTAGATTTTAGCCTGAAAATAAGCACAAAACATGAGGGGACCTACAATACAGAAAATAAGAGTGACAGTCACATTTTAAAACGCAAAATCTACTAGTGATGCCTAGCATGGACTTTGCAGTTCAAAATGAAGATTCTAAAAAAATCATACTTATATCTATATGACAAACTTTTAAGTTAATTTAGAGAAACATCACTATATAGAGAATAAAATGGGGAAAAATTTTCAATGAATGAGGCACATTTTTCATTAATTCCTTTTACAGTGAAAACAAAAGCAATAATGGGGCACAATGGTGCACAACCAGAAAGCCAGCTTCTTGCGAGGGTGAAGCGTGAGGACTTGAGTCTGAGATTGCCTGGGAAATTCAACAAGATCTTGTCGGAAGAGAGGGATGGATACAAGCAGGCAAAGAGACCAAGCCAACCTATGAGAGCTACAAAGAAATAATACATATCTTGTGAATTAATATAGCAAAACTTTACCTAGTGTAATATTATTTAAAGAGGTGGAAATAATCTTTCTTTAAAACCAACACAGGGTTGCGTATGGCATGATGTAAAGCGCTTCACACTGTGGGAATGCCTTCATTTGTCACTCCCCGGACATCTCAGCCATCTCGGCCATCTCGGCGGCTGTTGCCATCTGTACCTAAGGCAGGAAGAAGGTGGCTGCAAAGAAGATGAAAAAATCTCTGGAGTCCATCAACTCTAGGCTCCAACTTGTTATGAAAAGTGGAAAGTACATGCGGGGGTGGGGGCAGGGGGTACAAGCAGACACTGAAGATGATCAGACAGGGCAAAGTGAAACTGGTCATCCTTGCCAACAACTGCCCAGCCTTGAGGAAATCTAAATAGAGGACTAGGCCGTGTTGGCCAAAACTGGTGTCCACCACTACAGTGGCAATAATATCGAACTGGGCACAGCATGTGGAAAATACTACAAAGTATGCATGCTGGCAATCATTGATCCAGGTGATCCTGATATCATTACAAGCACACCAGAGCAGACTGGTGAAAAATAAACCAAGCAGATTTTTCATTAATAGAACCTGTCAGAGCTTGGGAAAAAAGAAAAAGAAGAAGAAGAAAAAAAAACCAACACACACACACACACACACACACACATAGTGTATGCACACATCTTATGGAGGTGCACACAGTCTATACCTTACTGCTCTCTGCAAAAGGAACATGGTCTAAGTTTGTTCTGTAGGCTTTTAGTCTCAGCAAAGCATCCTGGGCTTAACTGTATCAATGTTCCAAGAACGACTATTCTGTGCCCCAAAACAACTTGAGGAGACCCTGTCTCAAAATTTTAAAAAAGGAGCCAGATGTAGCTCAGCATAAAGGCCCTGGGTTCAATTCCCAGGGTGGAGGCCACACTGGCAGGCCCTGGTCTGCTACGTGAACCTGACCTTGCTGGGACTCCCTCCTCCTAGCACACTTCCTCCCCAGGAGTGGCCAGGCCAAAGCAGCAGGGCTTGAAGCCACAGGCTTCAGCTGAGCACTAGAGAGAAAATGAAAATGAATCTGAGGAAGAGCCGGGCTATATTTCCTGCTCACTTCAAAGATCCTACAATGATGTATCCTCGATGTTTAATATTTGTACTGTATTTTCCTTAACAATGGCCCACTAATCCCAGTTCCCCGCTTTTTCATTCATCAATTATCAATACCCCCCCAAAAAAATCAACACTGTCCATCAACTTCTCTTTAAACTTAAAATTTGATGTTAGAAACATACATGGTTTTATCCATACAAATTTCATACATTACTTTTGCAAGCCAAAGGGAACCATAATTACACTCAACATCACAATGAATACATTGCAAGGATAAGGACAAGAAAGTGGAAAACCA